TGGTGGTGGTGGAGGGGGGTAATGGGGCAGCAGCATCTCCTGACTTGGTTGAAGACAGATTTATAGAACCAGAAGAGTCCATGACTGCGTTAGAGGACAAAAGAGCTGGCGTGTGACAGGAAAATGTTGGATCAGAGGAGGATGGGATGTCTGATTGGCTGGGGACAGGCGAGGAGGATGCTGGGTTTGTTCCTGAACTGAACCTATTGAAGAACTTGTTCAGTTCATTGGCTGTGTCCAGGCTGCCATCTGTGCAATCCTTCCTCTGCTTGAAGCCTGTGATCTTCTTCATCCCTGACCAGACATCTTTGATATTCTTCCTCTGAAGTTTGTTCTCCAGCTTCTTCCTGTATGCCTCCTTGCTGTCTCTGATCTTGATCTTCAGTTGCTTCTGTATACTCCTCAATAATTCCCTGTCTCCCTCCTTGAAGGCTCTTTTTTTCTCATTTAGCAGATTCTTCAGTTCACTGGTGATCCAGGGTTTGTTATTAGCAAATCTTCTCACTGTTCTGGTGGGTATGATATTTTCCACACAGAAGTTTATATAGTCAGTGACACATCCAGTCATGGCATTGATGTCCTCTTCATATCCTTGGCAGAGAGTCATCCAACCTGCGGTCTCAAAACAACCCTGCAGGGCTTCTTCAGCATCCTGTGACCATTTTCTCACAGCTCTTCTTGTCACAGGTTGCCTCTGAACAAGTGGTTTGTATTCTGAGCAGAGAAAAACAAGACTGTGATCTGACTGTCCTAGAGGAGGTCTTGTTTTGGACAAGTATGCATTCTTTACATTTGCAAAACACAAATCCAATGTCTTGTTTTCTCTGGTGGAGCAGATGACAAACTGTTGAAATGTTGAAAGTATAGCAGAGAGCGAGGCATGATTAAAATCACCAGATATAGCCACAAATGCATTGGGGTGCTGGGTTTGTAGCTTAGCGACAATGGAACTGATGGCATCACATGCACTTTCAGCATTGGCTGAAGGTGGAATATAAACGGTTGCCAAGACAACACTGGTGAACTCTCTTGGCAAATAATATGGGCAACAACTTACTGCCAAGAGTTCAACATCTGGGCTGCAGAGACGATATTTCACTGAAACATGACCTGGATGGCACCATCTGTTGTTGACAAGCACTGCCTCTCCACCTCCTTTTCTTTTACCGCTCCTCTTCAGATCTCTGTGTGCTCGTACAGTCAGGAATCCTGGCAGAGAGATGCTGGAATCGGGGATATGGTCCTGCAGCCACGTCTCAGTGAAACACATAACACTGCACTGCTGATACTCTGGCTGAGTCCTTGACATTGATATATGATATATCCACCTTATTCCCGGCTAGGCTCATGGAGAAACAATGAAGCAAGTGTCATCTGGTGAGATAATGAAGGTATAGTGCATATACAGTGGCTTGCATGGCGAGATTTCATTGCTAGTAGCGATTTTTTTGAAAATTTGAAGAAGATTTTAAAATATATTTACCACAGGAAAATGCACTCACACTGCTTGAGCGCTGCACTGTTTGTGTTTGTACAAACAACCAGAGAAAAATTGATTTGTGGCTGCAAGCCCAATGTTTAGAACACGCACCTCGGATTAAGAGAGTGTGGCTGCGAGCGTCGGTAGTTTTCAGCTTGAGATTAAGAACCCAGAAAAATTTTATTTGTGTGTTTGTTTCATTTTGTTGTGAAAAAACCCATAGTGCAGAGGAGCACCCACATCACTTTGGTATATGACCTCTGGAAAAGAGATGGCTGGAGGTTAAGATATTTCACAACAGGCTAACAAGAACAATAGGTATGATATCATGTATACAATTTTCTGTAACGTGTGTTTAGACTGCCGTTATTACCGGTAACCTAAAAGTTTGTATTTCATTTGGTTAAAACCCAGGCTTGGTGATGAGACTGACTCAACTCTATGTCTGCTTTTAAGCAAATAAGATTGTGTTTCGCCTTCTTCAACAAACACAACCAACCCTATTAAACCTAATTTATCTGCATCGGGACGGATGCACACAACGCGATTATACATCCTTGCGAGCCTGCTGGAGAGCCCTCACAAGGACGGACGGAGTCGAGCTCTCTTTTCTAAACATCCGTCCGTCGAGACGCTGAATGCAAGCTTGTGATTGGTCAGGACGCCACTGCCGTTTACAGCGGCACCATTGCTCCCTCAAAAACGTAAATTGAGCCAAAGATATCTAGCGGTAGTCATGGAGCAGCTAGAAAAATACCTCGCGGAAAAACTCTAAAAATATGATTGTTTTATTCCTCCGTGACTGAAGAAGTGAAAAGATGCAAAAGCATTTTATTCGTGGACGTAAATGACGGGAAACGTGGGTTTAGAGGTGGCGAGTGACATGAGGTGGAGGAGAATGAGGGACAAACTTGTCTGTACAAAAAAACAATAAAAATACTATCTTGGACCGGATTCATGACAGGATACCACAGAACAGCGCTACGCCCTTTTTTCTGGCGGGGAATTGCTTTGCAACACTCCCCAGGAGACAGAGAAGTATGAGGCCAAATTGTCTCCGTCCGTGCGTGTCTCTCCCTGGTGGAGCGGACAGAGAAAAATCAGCTAGGCTTTAATATTAAGGTACCGATAAGCCTCTGAGATTTTAAGATTGGTTACTGCCTCGCCTGTGTAGCGTTATGAAAATGCTATTTTCTGCCCATAACAGCTGCCCTTTTAACACAGTGACAGTGTGCACGAATTGCCAAGGTCGTGCGCTTGCTTTGGTGTTTACATTCCAGGAAAAAAGACAGAAGAAGGACGAAGAACGCTTTTCATTAATTAATCAAAGAACTTTATTTCTAATAAAGCTAATCAAAACAAATGTTAGTCAATAATAATCAGGTGACTGATCTGTGAAATCAATGTAAAGATTTATGTGTTTATTGAATAACAGGACTAACTATGCCAGACATTCTGATTCACATAAGGTAAACACAGGACACATTGTTCGCTCATTCCAATCAGAACCTCCGGTCTGTTGCGGGGCAGAGTTCTGTAGTGTTTATTTAATCTGTCCACTCCGATTGGCTAAGAATTATAAATAAAACAGAGCAACGCCATTTTAACAGCAGTTCCATCTCAGTTACATCTGAGTTCCATCGGAGATTCAACGTAGCTCCAACCAGCTCTCAAAACCATCATCGCTAAGTGAATTGCAGACTGGCCAGCTGTATTTCTACTTTAAGCTGAGAACTGGCAAGCTGGAAAATTCTGTCATTTCCTCAACAAGACGACGGTTTCTTCAGAATAAAAGCTGACTTGCTACTTGACGCGGACATCTGCCGTTACTGGTTTGTCGTGCTCCAGAATCTGTGCCATCAGCCGAGCACCGAAGGAAGGTCCAAGTCCACCTGGCATTCCTGATCTGACCACGGGAGTCTCCGACACGGTACGTAGATCCGACAGATGGCGTTTCATGTCTCTTCCTCCTGAAGTCCTCGTGGTTATGTAGTCAAAACATCTTAAACCCAGACTCGCCTGCAGCAGCTCGAGATTCTGAACTGACACACACACACACACCCACCAACACTTCAGCCTCCAAATCCATATGCATCCATCATAGAAAGTTAGTCCTGGTGATTGTTTGAATAATAATTATAAAAATTAAATATTCTTAAACGATCCCATCTCTCTTTTCTTGTCTCTAAGTCAATACAAAGTGTTTGAACAAAACTCCCTGAAGTAAAAACAACCTTTTCTGATTATAAGGGCCCAGTCCGTAGATTAATCTCTGGACATAATAAAAGTGTAAAGAATATACCAACTATATTCCGCTACATTTAATGGCGAGCCAGCCAGGAGGGCTTCAGGAGTAAGAGACATGAAACGCCATCTGTCGGATCTACGTACCGTGTCGGAGACTCCCGTGGTCAGATCAGGAATGCCAGGTCGACTCGGACCTTCCTTCGGTGCTCGGCTGATGGCACAGCTTCTGGAGCACGACAAACCAGTCTACGGATAGCTCCACGGCAGTAACGGCAGATGTCCGCGTCAAGTAGCAAGTCAGCTTTTATTCTGAAGAAACCATCGTCTTGTTGAGGAAACGACAGAATGTTCCAACTTGACAGTTCTCAGCTTAAAGTAGAAATACAGCTGGCCAGTCTGCAATTCACTTAGCGATGATGGTTTTGAGAGCTGGTTGGAGCTACGTTGAAACTCAGTTGGAACTGGATGGAACTGAAGTTTAAATGGCGTTGTTCTGTTTTATTAAACAGTGGATAGATCGGAGTGGATAGATTAAATAAACACTACAGAACTCTGCCCCGCAACAGACCGGAGGTTCTGATTGGAATGAGCGAACAATGTGTCCTGTGTTTACCTTATGTGAATCAGAATGTCTGGCATAGTTAGTCCTGTTATTGAATAAACACATAAATCATTACATTGATTTCACAGATCAGCCACCTGATTATTATTGACTAACATTTGTTTTGATTAGCTTTATTAGAAATAAAGTTCTTTGATTAATTAATGAAAAGCGTTCTTCGTCCTTCTTCTGTCTTCTTTCCTGGAATGTAAACACCAAAGCAAGCGCACGACCGTGGCAATTCGTGCACACTGTCACTGTGTTAAAAGGGCAGCTGTTAAGGGCAGAAAATAGCGTTTTCATAACGCTACACCGTCGAATGTGACTGAGTTCAGAAAGTAGCTAAAGATGCTACTGTATGTTAGCTCTGGCCAGATTTTAAGATTGGGGGATAGGAATAAGGTGGATATGGATGATGATGGATGTAAATGACACGCCCAAAAAATATTCTGCAATTGTACATCTACAGCTGATTAAGGCTGACAAAATCCAGGCGCTCCATTTTCCAATGCCTCAGTACCACAAGGCTGACTACCTCACAGTTAAGTAATGCTGTCCAACTTCAATAGATACTCCAAATTAATCTTTGTTTTACTGGAATTTAAAGGACGGGTCTCCTTACTGACCTACCCTATCTCAGGATTCTTTTTTTTTACTCCCCCAAAAGCTTACCTGTACTCGATTTAATAGTTTCCTGCCCAACAGTTTGACCAAGCAGGTCGTATTGGTTCAAGCGAGAGCTCTCCTCTTCTACCACGACCGACTCAGATGCATTTAGAGTCCAAGCGTAGGTCACCTCTGAGATTGTGTAGGCATCTGAAAAAAAGGAAGAAAGAGAACCTCATTGGGGGATAAATCTGGGGCAGCTATCAATGATTTTTCTTTTTTTAAAATATTGTGACCCAAATGAAATGTCCCAACTTCACGGTATTTGATGCTGGGTTTCTAGAAAAAATATATTCTGTATCGAGGAAAAAAAGGGGATGTAGACCTAGAAATAGGTAGTTTCTCCTTATTTAAATATATTCAATAATTGAAATATACTAAATATTCTGTCCAATTGGTTAACAAGATCAACGGGACAAATGACAGGTCACCACATCAATGCACAGAAAGCCATCTTCTAAATTCTGATGCCTTGATAAGAGACGGTTTTTAGTCCCTTCAATTCTAAACCAGCTGTTTGTTTTTGAGAAAAAGCTTTAGCCAATTAAATGAACAGTTCAGGCATTTTGAAGTTTGTACAAAAGTTCTAAATAATTACTATCTGACTTTGTTGATGGCTTCCTGAACAGCCTCTGTTTGGAGAAATGTGTAAAACCGGGGAGCTAACAACTGGTTTGAATGCAGTCAAGGCCAATATATTGCTAGTTCTAAAACACCTCAATCCACTAAATTTCTATGCAGTTAAACAACGTTTTTTTTTTAAAACCTTTTTTGGTTTACTTGGCTGTTTGGCATAAATATTACAGGGTATATGCAAGGATATAAAAAGGAAATTTATTACCTTTTAAATACCTTCTAAAATAAAATTACGACTTTATCATAATGAACAAAGAAACTTTTATTCATATATTTTTAAATACTGTATCACTTCATTGTCTTCTTCATCAATTGGCAGGATAGGCTGTAGCAATAATACGTAAAGTCACGTGGTATGGAAACTAGGGCTGCAACAACGAATCGATAAATTCGATGAAAATCGATTACTAAAAGCGTTGGCAACGAATTGCGTCATCGATTCGTTGTGTTGCACAACTCTTCCAAAAGCCCCCTCCCCTCCCGCCCGCCGTTGCGCGCAGACCGGTGGAGAGCTGGCAGGTGTTTGTAAAAGAGGAACATGGCAGAAGCAGCGAGACCCCAAAAAAAGTAAAAACTTCTAAAGTTTGGGAGAATTTTCAGTTAAATCAGGCGAAGGCATGCAACGTTTGTAGGTCAGACTTAGCATGGCACGGGGATACTACGGTGATGATGCAGCGTCTTAAACGCAAGCATGTCAGAATCATCAGCGAGGAAGGAGAGAGCTCTGCATCCGGGTAAGTTAAAAACTTTTCAAAAGTGATTTACCCAAGCCCCGGATTATTACACAGGCTAGACATGCCCTAAGCTCGTTAAAAAAAGTCTATAAAATTGTAAGCGCGACGCTATTAGATAGGCGGGGGTGGGGGTGGGGGGTGGACTCGCGCCGCTGTGAACCGGTTCCGCCGTCACATTCCCGCAGAAACTGGTTGATCACACCGGGGCCAGACTACTAGCATGTGGCTTTACAACCACAATGTCCTCAGAAGCAAAAACGCTTTTAAAAGGGAGGGAGGAGTCCTAACTGTTGCTGCAGGCGTGTTGTGTGAGAGTGCAGTTATATACTGGTTAATATATTTTTGGGTTCAGTTGCTTTCATGTGGCCTAATGTGAGTCTATTTGGGATCATTGGAATGATCAGCAGCATTTCTTGATGTGACTTTATGGCAGTTGCCCAGGGCATCATCGCAAGGAGGATGGCATTCATTTACTTTTGTTTTATTTGGTATTTTTCAGTCATTTGTGGAAATAGTGATCAATTTTGATTAATTCACAGCCTATGTTTAATTACATTTAAAAATTAGTTGTTTGACATCCCCAATTATAATAAATGTCTACAGATGAGATCAAACAAAACAGATGAGAATTGCCCTTAAAGAGCAAGTCACCCCCAAATAAACTTTTTTTTGCTGATAAACTAAATAAACGAGTGTCTAATCGTGCTGCAGACACGTGTCGTCAATAATTTGGCACTTCAGTGCATCTTAGTTAAAATTTAAATATTCTGCCTAAAACTGGCAGTGTTGTGCCGTTGTCAGGTAAAAACTCTGCACTGTATTTTAATTTAAATCTGCCACCGCTATTGGCTAAGAAGTATGCTATGATGTAAACTGGTACATTATGATGTCACAATGCTGTCGTGAGCCTGAGTCTGTGTGTATCTGTTAGCGGCTCCACCCTCTCGGTCTGCCAGGCAACAGCATGTGTTGCATTTTTCAAACATGAAGCGCGAGTAGAGTTAGACTCTGGTAGGGGTTGACTTGCTCTTTAAGCTGTTTAATTGGACCAAGCATTTTAGGTCACAGATAGGTGTAGCTTAGGGTGTCTGTCTATATACCTTATAAGACAATTTAGGTGATGGCATGTTGTTTTTCTGCTATTGAACTGTTTTCTAATAATGTTGTGTTTAATAAAGTGAAGGAAGGAGAAAAATAACATTTCCCTAGCAGTTTTTAAAAATGTCCCTATGTAATCCGATTAATCGATTAATCGTGTCGAGACCCCATCCGATTAATCGATTATCCAAATAATCGTTTGTTGCAGCCCTAATGGAAACTCAAGCAAACGGCTGGTATAGAAGAATGAATTATTTAAAGTTATTAGTTTACATGTGTCTTTTCTTGATTGACAGTTATTTTAAATACATGTCAAATTTAAGACAAAGAGACAACTTGTAGTTTTTACCAGTAATCTCAAAAATTAATAAAATTATGCCCGGCTTTTGAAAAATATTGGCGGCTTTGTGACATAACCATAAAAATACAAATCTGGGCAACCCCATATTAGTCGCTATGTTTCCTTCTACGGGAGCCTGTGAGGACAAAACACATTTACTGATTTGTAACAAGCAGTTACAAAACTTTTACCATTCATAAATGTTGTTTTACACATTTACCTCTTCACTTGTTGCCAGTGATGAAAAGGAGTCTGATGTGCTTGTCATTTTGCTGGAGGTTGAACCATTTGATGAAGTACTTGTCCGAAAATTGCACACCCAAGGATTTTTGTCCCTAACTGCCATTCGTTGGTAAGGTCCTACTCGAATACAAAAATACAGCTTGCTTGCTTGCAATGATTTAGGTATGTACTGGCCCCTATCGCCAGGAAAAATACACACTATCACGTTAACTACAACGTTTGAAGACGTTTTAACAATTTTTAAGGGTCTTAATTGTAAAGACCCTGTATTTAGAATGGTCTGCTAGATCTGGATGCATCGGTAGTGCTACGTTTTACAGCTGCCAATGATCATGCTTGTAACTATAAGTCCATGTGTATAACCAGGAAAACTGACTGAAGAGTAAAGACCTAGAAGGTAACCTATGACTGGAACGTTTTGGAGGTCAGAGCTGTTTTGACTTGATAGTGATAGAGGCCGTACTGAAACTGATCCATAACCAGTCAGTAATAGTAATCATTTATGATCTCTACCTAAAGGCACAAATAAAATGCCCCAAAAGTTCATTTAAAGCAAAACATAAATAAATAAATAATTGAAAAAAAGAAAAAAATCAATCATCCAAATATGTAGAAGCCATGGCAATTAAACCTGAGCAAAAGAAACTAAACTGTCTGAAACAAAATGTTTAGATGAGTTTAGACATTATTCAGCCAAGTTTGTGTGGATATGTTGTTTAAATGCAGAAGCCCGTTCTGTTCATCTGTGCATGATGACTGCCATTAAGCGGAGCCATGCCATCCTGCTTCCCTCAGTCCTCAGGCTGTTCTCTTGCCAAATAACTAGTACGAATACAAATAAAGCATTGTACTTTAAGTTGCCTCAGGCACTATCATCATCATCAGAGTTACTCACAGCTGCCAAATTTTAGTGGACAGGAATGAAAGTCCATGGGGAAATCCTCCAGATGCATTGGGCACTCTGCATGCACTGTTAACCTGCATCCAATTCACAGAACGTTAACCAGAATTTGCAAAGCATAAAGAGTAAACAGCACAGGTTAGAAACAAATAAATAAACAAAATAAAAAAAACAACCCTCACAAAGCCTCATGCACCAATCAAGACACTTAACTTCTGTAATGCCTTGAAATGGATGTCATTTCTTTTTGTTTTGTAGCCATCAAGCTTTTAGATTTCACATTTAAATTTAACTTTTAGATTTGCATTTGTAATTGACATATAGCTTAGCTCAAATTATATGAAATGTAAGCAAGTCTGTATACTTTTAGGCAATTTTCATTTTAAATCTGACGAAAGAAGACTAAGAAAAGTAAAAAAAAAAAAAGCTAAATTTTTTTTCCATGACCATTTACACTTCACGTCTCAACATTCAACCTTGCCATGCAAACACATGATAGCACTGTAAAATGTATTTGGTTAGTTTATGCAAAAGTAGAAATATAAAAAAAATGTGTCTTTTAAGCAACGTAGATGCTAGGCTATCAGGCTAACAGTCCTAGCAGCTACTTTTTGGGCTACGGTGAAAGAGTTCAGACAAAGCTAGTCTGACTGAGCCCAACAACAAAGTGGATTACTGCCATTCTTAGAGCTTCTTCTATCTGCAAAGCGTCAAACACAAGTTATTACAACGGCCTACTCATACAAAAAAAAAAAAAAAAAAAAAAAAAAACCTAACTAACTAGAAAATATTTAAATAAAAACCTAAATTGGGTCTTTAATTGAATCTCAATGTACCAGCTTTAAAACTTCTCTACCTAATAAAATGATTTATTATTGTTATAGCTGTATTCTTCAAATGAAATAGGCCTACTTGCATAACTTCTGGTCATAACAGCACAGAAACAAAGTTATTTAACTCAATGCCATTTTCTCTCATTGTTAAGCAATTAAAAAATCACTTCCTGTTCTTTAAAATAAATAACTTTTTGTTACTGATTTTCAAAATAAAGACTAAAAGGCATTAACAGGTTTTCAGGTCATTTTTTGTCTAAACTGGTCTTTACATTGTGTGCACCTGTCCATGTGAGCGTACCAGAGCAGAGCAACCAGGAAAACATGGAATGGATTTCAGCAGGCTGAGGAAATCCTAAAGAATGAAGTGGAATGGATTTCTTCGAGAATGTTTGAAAGAGCGCAAGGCAGACTAAATATCGGGGGGACCAAATGCCTAATTGTCAAAAGTGTGTGTGTGGGGGGGGGGGGGGGGGGGACACGCCCCCTTGTAACATAATAGGGAGCCTAAGTCACTTCCGCATCATGGGTCCCCGGAAGAACGAAGAAATGAATGCAAGTCAACGGGGCTAAAAATGCTATTTTCTAATCCGCGTTGCCTTACGCCCTGGATCACACATTTGTTGCACTGTAATTTAAATGAAAAGCAATGATGAGTGTTTCGACCATGCGAGTCATGAACTTTGAGATTTATTAGCTTGTAAAAGTTCGTAATTAGCATGACTACAAACTAGAAATCGGCACGTCGCATATGTGACGTCACCACATAATCTCTCCTCATAGTAGCTGCTGCTTACCAAATGACCAGATTTATGGTGGTTCTTTCTCCTGTGGGAAGTTTGCTGAACTTACAGCCCTTTTTCCTCCGTTTTCTCCGTGTCTGGTTCGATGACGTCACTTTTGTGAAATGCATTTGTAGTCCTGGACTTATTTTCACACAAAACCTAAAATAACGTTTCCCCTTGTTCGAAAATAAGTGTGCTCTTGGCATAGGTGTCATTTTAACCGGGGACGCCGGGGACATGTCCCCGGCAAAATTTGTGATTGGCAGCTGTGTCCCCCCCACTTTCAAAAACGCCTGCTGATGAGGATTTTTGTTTTACCAGCTCAGATCTTATACCAGGGGTCGGCAACCTGTTCCCATCAAAGAGCCATTATTACCCGTTTCCCACAGTAATTCTGGACGGACCTTAATAAGCAGTGACTTAAGTGAAGCAGGCAGGTCGCGCTAGAAAATTTAGTTTAAAAAGACGTCATAAATGTTTTCCCCCGTCATTTTTATTTATAAAATATGAAGTAAAAACTCACAATTTAATTTTCATTCATTTGTCATTAATATGTAGTCTACACCCGTGCGTTAAGTGGACCATCTTCCAGTAAACGCAAAGCATCCAGCCCACCTCTCCAAATGCGTAAAATGTGCATCAGCCGCTACTTAGGCGCGCCGTGCGCACCGTCAGCTGATCAGCCCAGACAAGAGCAGAGCAACTAGAGAAAGAATAGAGGATAATTGTGTCTGGATGTGGATGGAGATTACATTTTACAGCAGCCTGATCATCATTTAAATACATAAACCATCACCTGTCTTCTAGTCCACACTATCAGCATTATTTTAATTGGTGTGTGTGTGTGTGTGTGTTTTCCACTTCAAACACTGGTCTAACCAACCAGACCAGCGTGTCCAGTAGCATATTAATGTTACAATTAAACAGTTCCACTTCATGTAGGCTAGGAACGTTTCACCTGCCGTGGCCCGACCGCTTCTGCTCCACATAAACTTTGTGCGTGATCAAATGTCTCTACGCGTCACGCGTCTCCATATTAGAGACGGGAACAAGCGCTGTTCACCCAAAGTTTCATAATTTCATAAAAAGAACATTTTTCCAAGTGACACATCCCTCAGAGAGACCGGGTTTCCAGACAGCTTCAGTGGGAGGAAATCTTATCGCATGCACCGTGGTTCTGCACTGCGCTGCGAACCCCAGATCTTCAGCTCACTGTCCACCGTGGGCGCTCCGAGCCGCGCTGAACACAGTGTCCAGTATAAAGCTTTGATGTTCTGATGGGAATATTTTACCTCCGCGATGTGCGTTAACGATTAAAACGTCAGCTCATCCATGCGCATCAGTGTTCATCGGGGTAATTCTTTCAAACCAAGCAACATCCTTGAGTTCATCTGTCAAAATAAACAGTCAAAAGGAAATATCTGTAACCTGCCGTTTAACTGTTTTGCCTTCTTGTGAAGATTGTTGCAAAGAGAAACAATTAAACCTGATTAACCCCAGAGCCACGCAGACAACCATGCAGAGCGCATGCGGGAAGCTTCCTCCCACTGAAGCGAGTGTTTTCCAAACCCTGACTCTCAGAGAGACTTGTCACTTAGAAAATGTTCTCTGATTATGAAACTTTGGCTGAATAGCGCGTGTTCCTGTCTCCAATGTGGCAACACATCCAGGAGCCTGTCTGAGGAGAATCCCAGAATCTCACATCCTCTTCAGCTCACAAAGTGCCCATATGATTACGCACAAGCGTGACGCGTCAACCCGGTCTCACAGTAAGACCGGCTTGGACCTGTTCAGGTTTACGCAGACAATCTTTACATTTAGAATTGGCATACAGATGTAAAATTAATGCAGTAAAATATAAAGCATTTTATTTAAATATCCATTCATTATTTTACAAGCACAGAGAGCCGCATCAGATGGATGGAAGAGCTGCATGCGGCTCCAGGGCCGCGGAATGCCGACCCCTGTGCTAGCCTACTTTATTGTCCCCAGCAGTTTTTAAACCCCACTCAAGTGTATGGTTATTGTCCCCAGCAATTCTGAAAACAAACTGACGCCCTCTTGGTATCAAAATGTGTCTTTAAAAGTCACGGACATCATATGTGAAATCCATGGCACAGCACAAGCAGAATTAGAAAATGGCATTTTTAGCCCCATTGACTTGCATTCATTTTTTGTTCTTCCGGGGACCCATGATGCGTAAGTGACTTAGGCTCCCGATGGTTCAGATGCCTGTGATGTGGGCGGGGCAAAAGACGTGCAGAGAAGTCCGTGAATTGCTTGGATTAGCCTGGACAAATCTGCTGCCGCAGAGGGTTGCGGTGGACGGTAAGCAGGATTTGGACTCTTATTTCCTGATATTTGGACATCTTGCTTTTGATTGGATAACAGCAACATGAGTCTGCCACAGACTTGCAACATGGTTGTTTTATCTCCACAAATAACACAAGCCTGTAGGATTTTTTTCTGTGTGGTAGAGTAGCTAACGCTAACGGTTAGCTTTAACTAGTCAGGGCGTTCTCTGCTGTTTTCTTGATTTAATTTAATGGCTCCTAACTGAGGTTGGTAGGATGTCCATAACCTTTCCCCAGAACCACACCTCAGAAGAACTGAACAATCATTGCATTATAAATGGTACTCTGACAGGAAGATTTTCATTACCTCATGGTGTACAGCAGCGTCCCATCATCTTTGATCCTTAACAGTTTATTAGGCATGGTCATGTTGTGAGCCACAGACTTTTTCCCGTTATGAAAGAAGGTGTCTGGAGTCCAGATCTTACTGGCCATCAGGTTGTTCAGAGGCAAAATGTTCATCGGCCCGTGAAACTTCAACCGCTCATCCTTCCAGCTTTGCCTGAAGAAAACATCTATGGTGTACTCCTGAGGATAGAGGAGATCAATTCGTAAACCTGTGCCAATAACTCATGTTATTTTTAAAATAAGTCCCATTTGAGCTATAAAAAAGTCAGGGCACTTTCCACTCTTATGTTTTATGAATGCCTATAAGCAGCAGCTTCACATCTGACTTGAGCTGCCACTTTAAAGCCTCTCTCTCTTTGACAAAGCTCCATCTAGGTGAGGCCTGTGCCCTCCGGTTTCCTACCGGCTGGCTGATTCAGTGTTTTCCTGTGAGGCCGAGGCAAGCTATGGCCTAAAAGTCCTCTGCTGTCACCAGAAACCACACACTAGAGGGAATTTCGGTCGGACAGCGCTGCCATGTGAAATGGGTGTATGCGTGAGAGTGTTTGTGTGATTCACACGCAGTACACAGGGGAGGAAGTGAGAGATGCTGGGCTGTTTATTTTTCTTCATCACAGTTAAAAAGCTTCTGACATATAGATCTCTGGACACTGAAACTGCAACAGAAACGCAGTCACGCTCCACTGAGAACAGTAGCCTCTTAAAAAGAGGTTAGTATTACTCTAGGTCAGGGGTGCCCAATCCTGGTCCTGGAGGGCCGGTATCCAGCAGGTTTTGTGGTTTTTCTGCTCCAACACACTTGATTAACTGGTTGAATCACCTGTGCAGCAGCTCATCAGGCTCTGTAGAAGCGTGTTGATCACCTGCTGATTGAAATCAGTTGTGTTGAAGCAGAATTAAAACTAAAACATGCTGGATACCGGCCCTCGAGGACCAGGATTGGGCACCCCTGCTCTAGGTCTTTTTTACCATTGTTTATGATACAGGTCCTTCTCAAAAAATTGGCATATTATGATAAAGTTCATTATTTTCTGTAATGTACTGATAAACATTAGACTTTCACATATATTAGATTCATTACACACAACTGAAGTAGTTCAAGCCTTTTATTGTTTCTAATATTGATGATTTTGGCATACAGCTCATGAAAACCCAAAATTCCTATCTCAAAGAATTTGCATATTTCATCCGACCAATAAAAGAAAAGTGTTTTTAATACAAAAAAGTCAACCATCAAATAATTATGTTCAGTTATGCACTCAATACTTGGTCGGGAATCTTCGTCTTCGTCTTCGTCTTCCTCCGCTTATCCGGGTCCGGGTCGCGGGGGCAGCATCCCAATTAGGGAGCTCCAGGCCGTCCTCTCCCCGGCCTTGTCCACCAGCTCCTCCGGCAGGACCCCAAGGCGTTCCCGGACCAGATTGGAGATGTAACCTCTCCAACGTGTCCTGGGTCGACCCGGGGGCCTTCTGCCGGCAGGACATGCCCGAAACACCTCCCCGGGGAGGCGTCCAGGAGGCATCCTGACCAGATGCCCAAACCACCTCAACTGGCTCCTTTCGATCCGGAGGAGCAGCGGTTCTACTCCGTGTCCCTCCCGAATGTCCGAGCTCCTCACCCTATCTCTAAGGCTGAGCCCGGCCACCCTACGGAGGAAACTCATTTCGGCCGCTTGTATCCGCGATCTCGTTCTTTCGGTAATTACCCAAAGCTCATGACCATAGGTGAGGATTGGGACGTAGATCGACCGGTAAATCGAGAGCCTGGCTTTCTGGCTCAGCTCCCTCTTCCCCACGACAGATCGGCTCAGCGTCCGCATCACTGCAGACGCCGAACCAATCCGCCTGTCGATCTCCCGATCCCTCCTACCCTCACTCGTGAACAAGACCCCGAGATACTTAAACTCCTCCACTTGAGGTAGGACCTCTCCCCCGACCCGGAGGTGGCAAGCCACCCTTTTCCGGTCGAGAACCATGGTCTCAGATTTGGAGGTGCTGATCCTCATCCCAGCCGCTTCACATTCGGCCGCGAACCTACCCAGCAAGAGCTGAAGGTCAGAGCTGGATGAAGCTAGGAGGACCACATCATCCGCAAAAAGCAGAGACGAGATTCTCCTGCCACCAAACTCGACACACTCCACACCACGGCTGCGTCTAGAAATTCTGTCCATAAAAGTGATGAACAGAACCGGTGACAAAGGGCAGCCCTGGCGGAGTCCAACCCTCACTGGGAACAGGTCCGACTTACTACCGGCTATGCGGACCAAACTCACGCTCCTCTGGTAAAGGGACTGAATGGCCCTTAACAGAAAGCCACCCACCCCATACTCCTGGAGCGTCCCCCACAGGGTGCCCCTGGGGACACGGTCATAAGCCTTCTCCAAATCCACAAAGCACATGTGGATTGGTTGGGCAAACTCCCATGCCCCCTCCATCACCCTTGCAAGGGTATAGAGCTGGTCCACAGTTCCACGGCCAGGACGAAAACCACATTGCTCCTCCTCTATCTGAGATTCAACTATCGATCGGACCCTCCTCTCCAGTACCTTGGCGTAGACCTTTCCAGGGAGGCTGAGGAGTGTGATCCCCCTATAGTTGGAACACACCCTCAGGTCACCCTTCTTAAAGATGGGGACCACCACCCCGGTCTGCCACTCCCTAGGAACTGCCCCCGATGACCACGCAATGTTGTAGAGACGTGTCAACCATGACAGCCCTACAACATCCATAGCCTTGAGATACCCAGGACGAACCTCATCCGCCCCCGGGGCTCCGCCGCTGTGTAGTTGTTTGACTACCTCAGCAACTTCTGCCCCTGAGATCGGACAGTCCATCCCCAGGCCTCCCAGCTCTGGTTCCTCCTCGGAATGCGCATTGGTGGGATTGAGGAGCTCCTCAAAGTATTCCTTCCACCGTCCGACTATAGCCTCAGTTGACGTCAGCAGCTCCCCATCCCCACTGTAAACAGTGTGAGCGAGTTGCTGCCTTCCTCTCCTGAGGCGCCGGACAGTTTGCCAGAACCTCTTTGGAGCCGATCGATAGTCTTTCTCCATGGCCTCACCAAACTCCTCCCACGCCCGAGATTTTGCCTCGGCAACTGCCACTGCTGCACCCCGCTTGGCTATCCGGTACCTGTCTGCTGCCTCCGGAGACCCACAGACCAGCCACGCCCTGTAGGCCTCCTTCTTCAGCCTGACGGCTCCCCGAACCTCTGGTGTCCACCAGCGGGTACGGGGGTTGCCACCACGACTGGCACCGGCCACCTTACGACCACAGCTAGCAACAGCCGCCTCGACAATCGCAGAGTGGAACAAGGCCCACTCGGACTCAATGTCCCCCACTGCTCTCGGGACGTGGTCAAAGCTCTGCCGGAGGTGGGAGTTGAAGACCGTCTTGACAGGTTCTTCTGCCAGGCGTTCCCAGCAGACCTCACTATGCGTTTGGGTCTGCCAGGTCTACGCGGCATGTTCCCTTGCCATCTGATCCAACTCACCACCAGGTGGTGATCAGTTGACAGCTCCGCCCCTCTCTTCACTCGGGTGTCCAAAACATACGGCCGCAGGTCAGATGATACGACTACAAAATCTATCATCGACCTGTGACCTAGGCTGCCCTGGTACCAAGTGTACCGGTGGGCATCCTTATGTTCGAACATGGTGTTCGTTATGGCCAAACTGTGGCTTGCACAGAAGTCCAATAACAAAACACCGCTCGAGTTCAGATTAGGTGGGCCGTTCCTCCCAATCACACCCCTCCAGGTCAAGCTGTCATTGCCCACGTGAGCATTGAAGTCCCCCAGCAGGACAATGGAGTCCCCTGATGGAGCACTATCTAGCACTCGTCCCAGGGACTCCAAAAAGGGTGGGTACTCTGAACTGATATTTGGCCCATAAGCACAAACAACAGTCAGGACCCGTTCCCCGACCCGAAGGCGCAAGGAAGCTACCCTCTTGTCCCCCGGGGTAAACCCCAACACACAGGCAGAGAGTCTCGGGGCTAACAAAAAGCCAACCCCAGCCCTCCGCCTCTCACCCGGAGCAACTCCAGCAAAGTAGAGTGTCCAACCCCTCTCCAGGTCTCGGGTTCCAGAGCCAATGCAATGTGTCGAGGTGAGTCCGACTATATCTAGCCGGTACCGCTCAACCTCTGCCACAAGCTCCGGCTCCTTCCCCGCCAGCGAGGTGACGTTCCATGTCCCAAAAACTAGTTTTCTTGTCCGGGGATTGGACCGCCAAGGCTCCCGCCTTGGTCTGCCACCCGATTCGCATTGCACCGGACCCTTCATGTTCCTCCTGCGGGTGGTGGGTCCACAGTTGGACGAGCCCATGTATCCGGTTCGGGCTGGGCCCGGCTGGGCCCCATGGGCGAAAGCCCGGCCACCAGGCGCTCGCTCACGGGCCCCAACCCCAGGCCTGGCTCCAGGGTGGGACCCCGGTAACCCTCCGGGCCGGGTACTCCGACTCTTCGTTTTAACTGCCATGAAAGATCCTTCGAACCGTTCTTTGTCTCACCCTTCACCTAAGACCAATTTGTCATGGGAGACCCTACCAGGGGCACTAAGTGCCCCAGACAACATAGCTCCTAGGATCATTAGGGCACTCAAACTCCTCCACCACGATAAGGTGACGGTTCAAGGAGGAGTGGTCGGGAATCCTGTTGCAGAAATGACTGCTTCAGTGCGGCGTGGCATGGAGACAATCAGCCTGTGGCACTGCTGAGGTGTTATGGAGGCCCAGGATGCTTCGATATCGGCCTTAAGCTCATCCAGAGTGTTGGGTCTTGCGTCTCTCAACTTTCTCTTCACAATATCCCACAGATTCTCTACGGGGTTCAGGTCAGGAGAGTTGGCAGGCCAACTGAGCACAGTAATACCATGGTCAGTAAACCATTTAGCAGTGGTTTTGGCACTGTGAGCAGGTGCCAGGTCATGCTGAAAAATGAAATCTTCATCTCCATAAAGCTTTTCAGCAGATGGGAGCATGAAGTGCTCCTGATAGCTAGCTGCATTGACCCTGCCCTTGATTAAACACAGTGGACAACCACCAGCAGCTGCCAAGGCACCCCAGACCATCACTGACTGTGGGCACTTGACACTGGACTTCAGGCATTTTGGCGTTTCCCTCTGCCCAGTCTTCCTCCAGACTCTGGCACCTTGATTTCCGAACGACATGCAAAATTTGC